AATAAAAGTCAACTTAGTTTCATCGTAAGTGAATGATTCCGGTCTCGTATAAACGTTTGATGCTGTAGGATATCCGCCATGTTCTCTTAGGTCAAATAGGTCAAATCGCTAATTAACCAATCAAAAAGCTGGATGTTGCGAAAACGGCATGATTTTTTTTAAATAAAAAAATTAGTTGTTTTTAAAAAATAAACTGGTCATCTGAAGAATAATTTAACATTGTTCACGCTCACGCTAGTCACGATAAAAATCATACACGTGTACTCTTGAATAGACAGACGTCAATGACTACGGTAAAACTTAGACTCTATTTTAGCCGGCAGGATTGATTGAAATGTCCGAAAAATGACGCCAAAATACACCTTAAAAGTCCCATTTTATTTTCTTAAATCCCATTATATTTTTTAATCCAAGGGCGAATTTACGGCAGAATTTGGTCCCTCAAATCACCGGTACGGTGCTCAAATAAGGGACACGTGAGCTTTGATTCTAACCGGATACATTGCACTGGGTCGGGGAGATCGTTTGCTAAACTTCCATGTATCTTTTGTCCAATGGGTACCTGTACTTCGAACATTCGCAAGTTTTCCTAGGTAGTGCGAGACAGCTTTGTCTTTTGACCTATTAGTTTTGTGCTGACCTCTTCTCCGCGTCTTGATGTTTTGTTTTGCTTGTCATAATACTCACTGATTGATGACTTTGTTTAGATTTTGAGTTACAACTCGGCCACGACCTTTGCTTTTACCGTGAAACATGAGGAAGTTTACGTCAATTGACGGACAAAGCATTTTTTAAAAACTAATGAAGCACACTGTCTATCATCCCCATTTTTTTTTGCTGATTTCTATTCTGAAAAATTCGACCGTCCGAAAATGCACCTTAATTTTGACTCTAAAAACACGTCACATTTCTAACACAAATTATTTAAAACCAGTCGAAATTTTGGAGTTTTTACGGTACTTTAGATATCAGTGTGAAAGATTAAAATTGGTTAATTACGCAAATTAGGTAATTAATATGTACAGATTTTAACCCACAATTATTCAGGTCTGTCTATTGTCCTACAGCATCCATGTACATTCATTGATATGTGATGTATAGTACCTGAGATATCAGTGTGAAAGTTGGTTAATTATGCAAA